TGTGTATAACACTTCAGATACAGAAACATACTCTTTAAATGAAAGCAGTACTTCCAACCATATGCAAGTGTTCTGTATGGGAGGAATATTTCTGACTTTCCAAAGAAAATTATTACAATGACATAGCAATACTGAATTTTTACTTCTGTTTGTAGCCCTCTAAGCACCTTTTTAAAAAACAGTTTGTTAATGTCATTCTAGAAAATAGGAATTAAACTGACTGTAACAGGGAATGAAACAAAATTACACAAATCACAAGTACTTTGTTATTCTCCCCATGCACCCCCTGCAAAGCCTAAACAAGTTTTATATGATACAAAGCACTGTCAATTTGAAAAAAAAAAAAAAATGAAGCACACGTTACAGAAACATAATCTACCCCTCAACTCCCCAATCCCATTGCTTAAAACTTACATTTAAGTATTACCCAATAGTGATGATAATGATCAATAAATCACTTAGTGGATTAAATAAGTTGACAAATTCTATAAACTGAACTTACTACTTCTGAAATTTATCTTTTCACTGATATAATGACGTGTTTGAAAATTTCATAGATAATTTTATTTCCAGAAAATAAGAATAATTGAAGCTTCCATCTGTACCAAAAGCTTAGAGTGCTGATGTGATCACTGAGGAAGATGGAAGTATTATCAGTTAGAAACACTAGAGATTCTCAGAAATGTACATATAAATCTGGTGAAGTAATGATATAGTAAAGAAATCTAAATTTCAGCCCAAGAACTCGGCAACTGCCCAACTACATCAGTGTCTTGTTAAAACTAGATGGCTCTCGCTGGTCTGCTGCCACAAAATTAGATTTAGTTAAGTATTAACATTTACGTGGTGTATGGGTGACAGCAGGCTAAGTCAGATAGGTACAAATAATTTTCAAGGGCTTAGAGCTCCAGAATGTGGTTTCACTAGCTTCATTGTTAACCTATTTATATATTGTAAAAACACAAAGGATCTGATTAAGTTATTGATGCACAGGAAGTGAGACCATAAATCAAGAATATACTCAATAAAATGCATAGATCAGAGTGTCATCCCAGGGAATGGGATGTAGTGTTCTCTCTCTGCTAGGGATACCAGTGTGGGTATAACTTCAGAGGCTCTTCAGTAGGTCTTGAAGTGGTTCATATGCCTTCTTTCCTGGTTCAGTGCCCTACCCTCATTCACCAGTGAGTTTAAGTTAAAAAGAACACCCTGCAGACAGGAACAGTGAAACCTCCCAACAGCATCTGCCTTGCTCTGCAAAGCAGAAGCTCAACACAGCAGAGAATCTAGACCAGTATTAAGTCTTTCGAGAGATAAGAGTCATTGTCAAAACACTAGCTTTTTCTCCCACATGATCACATTTAAAACACTAACTTGCAATAGCAGAGCTAACCTTGACGACACTAATCAATCAATCTTTTTTTTTTTTTTTTAAATTGCATAAAGGTAACAATCCTAATTAGATGAAATTTTCCTATTCAGAAGAAAGAGTGGCCTGTCACAAGAATGTAAAAAACCACACTCATTTTGCAGCCTACCAGAATATGGTAAGTTTATGTAAATTAGTTCCTTCATTAGTCCTAATATTTGAATTTTTCAGAACTACTTCACCTGCTACTGTGAGACAAGTGGTGCAATTCCAGAATAATTCCTTTGCATGCTTTTGCATAGTGATGTAAAGTTGTTTTTTTTTTTTCCTGGCTCCCAGTCTGTTAGAATTCCTTAACTTTTGAATGTTGTGGACAATCCTACTTCCATACAAAAATTTGTTACAGATTACTCCCCCAGTTACCATTAAAAAAAAAAAAAAAAGAATTTTTAACATACCGTCCTTGCCAGCTGGCACGCAGTTAAAACTTCTCTCTAATTAAGATGTTTAAAACAGTGTTTCCCAAACTCTGCATTACGACCCCATAGTGTCCCAAACTTTTAGATGGCAGCAGTCAGTAACACTTCAATAATCCCCATGCTTCCAACTGAACAGTAATTCATTTACTCAAGAGAAGAATGAAAGAGCTGGCTAAAACCAGGGATAAATAGATACTTTAGTAAAAGCAAACTAGCTTAGGGATGGGTAGCTGGCAGAGTGATTATAAAGACTTCCAGTGACTGGTAACATCTGGTCTGTATTCCGCTGTCCCAGAAGAACTGATCTCCTGCCTACTCACAAAATTACATATGGCATAGGAGCCAGAAGGGGTCACTATTTAAAAGTAGTCGTTTAGAGAACAGTTACAGGAGTTTTTACACTATGGTGCTTCAGTAACTCAACCAGCCATTGCAGCAGCAATTACCCCCAGCCTTCAGAAAAAAAACACCTAACCCCTCATCACTACAAACCCTTCCCAAACCGTCAGTCCCCACTGCCTGTCTGTACACTGAGACGCTGTCACTTCAGTGATGTTTACCATTTCTTCCGGAGTTGGATGTCATATTTCGAAGTCAATTTAAAGCTCGTGGACGACACCAGCTTTACAGCACTAAATCTGAAAGAGGGCAGTGTTGTGTAACCAGAGAGTGGTGCTATCTGTCAACGTTAATTACAGCTCTTCCTGCTGGGGTTTTTACAAGAAAGTAGGCCAGCAGGAAGTGTCATTATATTACAGCCTGTGGCTCTGTGCATGTGTTCCTAAGTTGACAGTCAAGAGACACCCTTTAACATTCTTCACTGTCTTTTTCAATATGAAAAACAAACGGCTCAGATTGCATAAAAGGATGAAATATGCTATCATATGCATCTGCTAGAGGAGAAAGATACAGGTATGTAGAAAGCAACTTCCTATTGAGGTAACAAAAACAGTTCCTGGTGTGTTCGTGATTTCTGATGTTCCTTTTCAACTTAACCTAATAAAGTTTATAAAGACTATTAAAATGAAGCTTTCCTAGCCCTTCCTACAGCCCTTATCTCAGTTAAAAAAAAAGACTGATTAGCTGACTTCCCAGGTAATAAGGCTCTGAGGAACAAAGGAAGGGAGGAATAGCTACCAAGGAAAGACATACTGCTGAGCTACCCATCCCAAACAGAAAAAGCTCAAAACAAAAAAGTTTGAGTTACACATGACACCTCCTACACCTCTGCCTTTCACACCTAGCTAACCCACTCAATGCGGATATTGAATTCAAAAGATACTTTAAAAAAACCACTATCATTTCAAAACATTAATCAAATATGAAACAAAGATATGCATCAATATGGAGTAGACTTAGATATTGTCAAGAAAGGGAGGTAAAGTTTCAAGGGACTATGAATAGTTCTAGGAGATATGTGATCAAAATTTACCAAGCATTTGAAGATACCTGTGGTCTCTAAGTTACTTGAGTTTTTCTAAAGTGGTGACCAATGTAATGGATTTACACACTTGCAAATGCTAGTCCTAGTAAATACCTACAATCAAACCGTACTACTTTCTAGATTCAGAGTTCCTACATCAATGTCATTGTCGTGGTTTAACCCCAGCCAGCAACTAAGCACCACGCAGCCGCTCACTCACTCCCCCCCATCCAGTGGGATGGGGGAGAAAATCAGGAAAAGTAGTAAAACTCCTGGGTTGAGATAAGAACGATTTAATAGAACAGAAAAGAAGAGACTAATAATGATAATGATAACACTAATAAAATGACAACAGTAGTAATAAAAGGATTGGAATGTACAAATGATGCGCAGGGCAATTGCTCACCACCCGCCGACCGACACCCAGCCAGTCCCTGAGCGGCAAAACCCTGCCCCCCCCACTTCCCAGTTCCTAAACTAGATGGGACGTCCTGTGACATGGAATACCCTGTTGGCCAGTTTGGGTCAGGTGCCCTGGCTGGGCATGAGAAGCTGAAAAATCCTTGACTCTAGTCTAAACACTACTGAGCAACAACTGAAAACATCAGCGTTATCAACATTCTTCACATACTGAACTCAAAACATAGCACTGTACCAGCTACTAGGAAGACAGTTAACTACATCCCAGCTGAAACCAGGACAGTCATCACCAAAAATATTTTTCTTTTAAATTCTATCACTTAACTGGCTGTAGGCAGCTCTTCCAGAATAATCACTTTCAACAAAGGATTATACCTATGAAACCATAGAAAAAATGACTTTGCATTTGAGAAGTAATCTGAAACGGAGCTTTCTACAATTTCTAGTACTTAAAGCCACGCATTTCCCATAAATAAAAAAACAGTAGTAAAAAAACCCAACCCACCCACCCCAAACCACCACACACTCAGTTTGAAAGCAATCCTCAAGTTACACTCAGAACACCCTCATTATCCAACAAGGCTAAACAACTGACTTAATACCACTGTATCTCCTAACTTTCCCAAACAAAGGTTGCAGATCTCATAAAGCCTTTTGTACAACTCAAAGTATTAAGGAAATTGTATCAGTCCAGTTTTATGAGTTTAATTCTTAGTAGACACTAGAAGACATGAAATGCTTGGCCTTATTTTTTCCCAGAACTGTGCAGTCATCACTGTAGTCTAACATTTTCCACAGAGTCAGTTCTCAACTGCTTTGGGGTTTTTGGTTTTGTTTTTAAATTTATATATACACATATATTTTTGTTGTCATTGTTCTTGTTTTAATTTTCCACAAGGAGAAGATTAGTGATTGATTTTCAAGTCCAGTTAATATCCATATCGCCTCTCATTTTTATCATTATACCCCTTAAGTTAGGCATAGCCTAAAGAAGTTGTCAAAAGAAATAGCTTAGGAAATAATAAGAATACCATTTAAATGTAAGCATTTCTGAATCCAGCTTTGGAAGTCTGACAAATTCAATAAAAAATTCCAGCAGAAATTAAATTATTAGTTTAAATTAAATTTCAAAAATCAAGACTATGACCATGATGTAGTAACATTTAAGTATGTTATATATAAAAAAAATAATAAAATGCAATATTCATGAATGATTCAAAGCCCAAACAATTAAAACTGAAACATCATGTTTCAACATGAAAAACATATATCAAGTAGAATAAAGACCTGGAAGAAAAATAGTTCCTACCTTCGTAGATAGCTTTGAAGCCTTGAGCACTGACAGCAAAATCTGTGGTGAAACAGAGGGTGAGGATAGATCCTGTGCTCACAATAGATGATGGAAGCTGAAAGCCAGATAACCTGTGCAATAAAAAGGCACAAGTTATTTTAACTTTTAAAACAAAGCACATCAATACGTGTGCTGAGCATTATGAGGAGCATCACATTTCTACATCCAAACTGCGAATGCATTATGCTTTTCGTCCTGATGCAGTCTCTAAACATTCAGTCCAAAGTTTCAAACATGTTCTTGAGCTTTTTAACCCTCCTATTTTAACACATCTGTGTGCTCTCCAACAGAGAACACGGAAAGAAAGACCTGTTTGTATCTACTAAAGATAAAGAATTTTTTTTATAAGATTAATTTCAAGATAAAGATAGGTAAATTTAGGACACCTAGAAGTAGATACCCAGGCCTTGACTCACATAGAGATACCTAGCACAATTTGATAACATGGACTATCCTGTCTGACATCCAGCTGCTGCTTCAGAAAAAGCATAGATCTCATATGTTCAATGTCTTATACATTGACTGACCAGAAAACAACAACAAAAAAACCACTTCCATTTAACAGCTTCAGAAAAATTACATTTCCCATGTTATTAGCAGTCTTACCTTTACATACAAAACAGAATTTTGGATAAGCTATAATTACATTGCAATACTGATTTTAAGATAATTGCTCCAAATAAATGTTTTGATTCATTTTGAGGATAAAACAGATGGGAAAAAATGTTTACATCCTTTACTGAAACATCACTAAAGACAATTCGTTAGACCTGGCTTACACTAGTGAGATGTCGGTTTCTTGACTGTTAAAATAATTTCACGTAAGCAAGATGAAAAACACCATTACTGTCCCACAAACCCAAAACTATACTGTCAGCTTACATCACTAGCCAATTTCTGTATTTTGCAATAGGGGTATGTGATCCATGGGGTACAGGACAATGCACCAGAAAGCCACCTTTCATTCAAATTTCACCCTGAAAGAGTTTCTTGAATTCTGACATTAGAAGAGCTCATCAAAAAAAAAAAAACCAACCAAACAAAAAACCCCGAACCACACCCACAGCACCACACCAAAAATGCTTTGATATATTTTTAATCTGGATGGTTAAGACAATCCATGCCTTTAAAAAAATCTTGCCTTTGAAATTTATTGTACAATGATGCTGTAGTTCATTAATTGGCATCTGGAACTGCAGAAGATAAATAACATACTAGTACAGTAGTATCAGTGAACTAGAAGTTCTTTGCAAAATTAGGCTTATTTAAGACCGCTCTCATATATAAAAACATATAAGAACTCCTCCATGCTTGGATTACACCAGTCAGGTGGTTCCCCATCTTTTTTCAACTTTGAGATTTGGAAAACAAATGTTTGGCTCAGATGAGTCGGAGGTCAAAGCAAGGAGAGCTTTAAATACAGGTGAAGGCATACGGTCAAGACAACTTAAGTCAGCAAAAAGCTTTCTGCAATTTCTTCCTTTCTTTTTAAACAACATTGTCTCCCACATGCTAATTAGCTGTTTGCTCTAATCTTTTCACCTTCTGTATACTTGTCAACCTATTACTCCTATTCTTTTCCACCTCATTTACTCCAATTCCAGAAATAACTAGGTTGATTTTTCCCTCAATCCTCAAACCGCAGAACTACTGTGAGGCTTACCACATCTTATGTTCAGACTTTTGTATGTTCTCTCACCTGCACTAGACATTGCAGTTTTTAGGGAAATGTGCCTCTTGTTCTATTTAATAAATTAGAGCAGTTATCACTACTGCCCTACATCTGAAGTGTACTGTATGACAGTTCATTATTAATTTAGGGTATGTATTTTCTGATCTTACTTGCATGTCTCTTCCTTCTTTGAGAAGGGATTCAAAGAGTTCTGCTTTTAAGGGCTTTTTTTTGGATAGCACTACAATATTTCCTGGATCTAACATCTTTTTTTGCTGAAATACAGGAAACTAGCATGCATTGTAGGGGAAGGAAGGAAAATCAGTATGAGACATGGAAAGATAGAGGTAGCTAGCCTCAACACTTCACACTACATAGGAGACCAAAAAAAAAAAAAAAAAAATAAAAAAAAAGACAAAAAAGTCCTATAAATGCAGAACTATACAGCTCTAGCTACCTCATTCCTGATCAGTGTTTGCTCCACTTGGTATGGAATTGGTTCATATAAATGAACTTATCTGAGCAGTGACTGGACATTCTGAGCTCCTGTTATGATTTCTAGACCTACCTGCTTTGAATCTGTTATGCTAATAAGTGTCACTTCTACAATATGGATTCTTTATCTGCCCAATAAATAAAATTATTTCTATACTATTCCCCTTGAAATACTGGAAGATCATTCTTTAGGCTAACTGACATTGCAATTTACATTAAAGGAATACAAATATATTCTTTTATACCTTAAATCAGTGCACTTTAAGGTTTTACAGACATAGGAAAAGGCAAGTATGTGGTAAACTTCAAGGATTAGTACATCAACTTGAAATCTATTTTTACATTACTGTAATCCTAAAAGAGATTATGGAAAAGTTTCAAACAGAAAAAAAAAAAAATCTGTATTCCAGTCATTCAACACAACTACCTGGGTGCCTCTACAATACCCTTGCCACCTGAAATATTTCTGAAAGCATCTTTTCATAGTATTCGAATAAATTCAGTGAGATCACATGCCATGAAATTGAGTGCAAACAAAGACTAGACAGCAGATGAAAATCTAGAGTGTTATTCTTCAGACATTTTCAGAATTAAACCACTGCTAACCTACCAAGTCATCCCCCCCCCCCCCCCCCCACTATCATTTTTGCTAGGTAGTTATAGCTCATGCATCATAATGTGTTTTGCACATTCATTTCATCATGCAGAAAAATCACACACCTTCATGTGTTGCTTTACTTTGGAAATGTATCTTGGCAATTAACTTGTAGGCCTTTACTGCAGCCAGAAAGGGAACTGTTGAGACAGACAAGCGTGTGTGCTAAGAAAGCAGAATCATTTCAAATCCCTCTGCTAATGAAACTGTCATTTGATAAGCTTCCACTACTTCATACTGAGCATATGGCAATACTTTAAGCTTAAAATATTGCTACTTCCTTAACTTTCAGTAGCATTAATCTGCAAAAAATGCACACACTAAAATACTTTTTAACCACAGATGGAATATATTTGGCTTGTCTATAAAGAAGAAACAGAACTTGTAACAGAGAACACAGTGGTACACCAGTACCAAGTTTAGCCTCTGGTTGAGGCAGGGGGGGAGGGGGGGGATCAGGGAAGACCACAAGAAACACCACACATTTCATTCTACATTGTCATTTCCTAGTGATAAGGTCTATCAATACATAGTTGGTTATTTTGGTTGGGTTTTGGTGGATTTTGTGTTTTTTTTCCCCAGTAGCATAGCAATAGGTCCAGGTGGCTCTGCTCAGAACTTCTCCACCCTCTACTTGTGATGGCACATTTTGAGACTTCCTGGTACTAAACAGTGCGCCAAGTCCTCTGGGGGGTTGGCAATGGCAATATGGTTACAGGTCTGTAGCAAATGATGTACAAGAAGAGGCTGAAGGAACAGATTTGTTGAGCCCTTAAAAGATGACAACTAAAGGGTGAACCTTACTGCTGTCTTCAGCTACCTGTTGGAGTGGTATAGAAAAAGCTGGGTTCCCCTTGGAAGCGCAGAAAGGATGGGAAGCAACAGGAAAGGTGCAACATGAGAAATTCCAGGTTTGTATTTTAAAAAAAGAAAACACCATGATGGTGGTGGTACATTGGAACTGATGCCCAGAGAGGATCTGGTATCTCCATCCTTGGAGACACTGGAAACTTGATAGCCCCCTGAACAGCATGATCTATCTTCAGACCTGGCTCCAATGTCAGCAGGAGATAAGATCAAATAATCGTAGTCTCTCGTAACCCAAGTAATTCAATGAATCCATGACCCATAAGGAATGCAAGGGCACAGTCCCTATCACAAGCAGCTGCTGTAAGAAAAATGAGAACATTCAACAGTTTGAGGAAATAAAGAAGTACAATCAGATCAGCCTAATAAGTTTTATGTTGTTTGCATAAATTTATCAAGGACTGAACTTTTGCTGAGTGTAGTTACAAAATTTTAGCAAGTCCCAGCTCTTCACATAGAAACTGACAGGCCTTCAAGCATGGTTAAAGCTGAAATGATCTTTGCAGGTGTTTTGAAGACATTCTTGACACAAGAATATCTTTGCTCCTCTTCCCTCCAATGAGAACTATTACATTCTTGTTTCCAGAGTCACTAGATGATTTTTTTTAATAAACATTTTGCATCACCCTCATGGTTGAAATGGTCAAATGAAGCTTCCAGAACAGCTCTATCAGGAGCAGCTATCCAGCATGAAGGGTCTCATATGATCAGACCACTTTAACAAGTATATACTGATGTCACAATTGCCAAAAAACAATGAGCAGTTGCAAAGGAAAAACAGAAGCATTTTTGCCATTTGCTAGCTTATTCATTCCTACAGCTGCCTGTAGTACAAAGTGATACGTTTGGGTTACTACACGTGACAAAATTTTGTCAAGGTTTAAAAAGATGTTGGGGGGAAATTTAAGAGCCAAAAAAATCCTAGAGGGAAGGGGGACCCTGCACCCATAAGGGCTAATTCTTTTTTCAAATCAGGCCAATGAAATCTATGAAAATACATTATTATAATTAGAAGGAGAATCAGATCTGTTAAATATTTTTAGAATTATGTCTGAAATATACACACACACTTTTTTTTTATGTATCTATGAGCTCTGCTCCTACTTCTGTACAGCTTGTTCCCAGAAACATTCTCAGAGGAAGTAACTAGCATCTATTTGGCTAAGACAAAATATTCTTGCCTGAAATTAGCTATCAGATGTCTCTTCAAAAGCTAATAGCCAAAAGGATTGATGTTACTAATAACAAGTATATGACTAAGTTCAAATGAATTATCCCAAAAGCAATTTTGGGCAAACCATAGGTAAATGGCAAAATCAGAGCTATTCTTTTTTCTCCCTCAAAATCTGTACAAGGGAAAAAACCTAACATTTCTTCCATTT